AAAATATGTTATTCGTGTAATTTCATCACATTTTATTGCATGTTGTTTTTATTTGTAAATAAATAATATGATTTTTTGGGTCTAGAATTAATTAATGGTTCAGCTTTGAATTTATAAGAAATTCAATACGTTAATTTCCTACAATATAAAATTATTTGTATATCCTATTATTTACAAATTTATAATTTATATCAAATAATATCATATATTAGCATGTAAATCACTACATGATTTTAAAGTCGCTTTATCACGTACTTTAATTTAAAAGTATGAACTATTATCATTGTGGGAATCTATAAAATTTAAAATTACGAGAAATATTAGTATATTTTGTTAAGATAAAATTGGACAACTATATCAGTAATAATAACAATGAAAATTAAAAGGATAACAGTCAGCAAATAATGATAAAAATAATATTACTGACACAGCAAATTGACATAAAAATGAAATACAAATTTGTTGTGAGATGAGTATTTGTTATGGATGAGTATTTAAGGGTTGATATTAACCCACTAAAGATTATCTAGGTGTCCAACTAACGGAGCCACTGGACTAAAGTTTTGGATAGAGTGAAGCCTAAATTGTATACAACTATATTATCGGCAAGCACATTAGGCTTCCTTAAAGAAAATGGCAATACATTGAAGGACGATCCGTATAAAATATTTGCTGGAGAAATTTATACGTATACTTTTCCCAATATGGAAATATTTTGTGCAATACAATACGTGATAATTCTTGAGTATTATAGATAGTGTCATCGTCTTGTCTTTAACCCTTTTTATAGCAATAAAAGAACAATTTGGGGATTTGGATATTTAGAAATTTATGGATATGGAAATTTATGACTTTTGGGGTATAAAAATTTGATAGTGAGGAAATTTTGGAATTTAGAAATCTAAGAATATAGGAATCTAGGAATTTAGGAAATTCCTAGGTTTAATTTTTATTTAAATTTTGGGGATACAGGGATTTTCTAGGATTTAGTTTGGGAATGAGAAATTTGGGAATTTGGATATTTAGAAATTTAAGGGTATGGGAATTTGTGGATTTTGGGGTTTAGAAATTTTGAAATTTAGAAATCCAGATATGTGAGAATCTAGGAATTATGGAAGCTAGAAATTTGAGAAAGAAAAATTTAGAAATTTGGATATTTAGAAATCTAAGGATATGGGAATTTATGGATCTAGAATTTATGGACTAGAAATTTGGGAATTTAGAAATCTAAGAAAATAGTAATCTAAGGATTTAAAGAATAGAAATTTAAAAATTCGAATCTTTAAAAACCCAAAATATTGAAATCTATGCAAGAAAATTTAGAAATTTAAGGATGCAAAAATTTTAGAATTTATATATTTAGAAACCTAATTACTCCTTAATTTGGGGATTTAAGAATTTAGCACTTTCAGGATTTGTAAACTTACCCAATTACAGTTATGAACATACAAACTTGATTAATAACTTCAACTATCCAATAACTTGCAGGTAAATGTAAGAATGTAAGAATTTGTAATGTAAGAATCTGCAAACTTTATCAATTGTAACTTGAACAATGCAGAAACTTACAGGCAAGAATACCTAAAACTCAAGAAATTGTCAAGCTTACATAAAGTGTCATTCAAAGGAACCTCCGTACAGCGTACAGAGCGCCTTTCCCGCAGTTACAAACTCGCTGAAAATTCTGTTCGTATTTATTTTACGAAAAGGGGAGTAAGGGTCACGAGAAGATGGACGAAAGGCGTTCGCGCTTATCTAAACAAAGCGTGCACCCAAAGTGTTTATCGCAGGCAAGTTGCTTAGCTCGCTTATCCGTCCGTCTGTCCGTCAGTCGTCAAAGAAATGCAACGAAACGAAAGGAATGCGTAGCTAGGCTTCTCGTATGCGACACTCGTGTCCCAAGGACCATGGTCAGCTTACATTCGAAGGGAAGAAAAAAGAAACCCGAGGGAGGGATGGTTACAACCGCGGGCCAAGACAAAAGCTTCCCGGTCCAAAATATCCCGGTGCTTTTCTTCACCGTTGTCTACGACCCATGGAAAATTGCGAACATACTCGAAAAATGTGTTGCGTTTGTCCTTAGTGTCGATTTTTATCTCGAAATATCCGAGAGGTTCGAGGAAGAGCAAAAAACGGTCGCATGACCGATTTTCTGACCTAATGGGATAACGACTGGCAAATGGCGGGAGATTCAAATGATTATTGGTTTCTGATGCGGAGTTTTGGGACTTTGAGATTTTGTGATTATGGGACTTTGGGATTTTGGAATTTTGGAATTTTCAACCATTTAGAATTTTGCAACTATGGAATTTTGACACTTTGGAGTTTTGAAACTTTGGAGCTTTGGAACTTTAGAATTTTTGAATTTTGAAACTCTGGACCTTTGAACCTTTTGGAATTTCGCAACTATGGAATTTTGACACTTTGGAATTTTGGAACTTTGGAGCTTTGAAACTTTAGTATTTTTGAATTTTGAAACTCTGGACCTTTGAACCTTTTGGAATTTTGCAACTATGGACCTTTGAACCTTTTGGAATTTCGCAACTATGGAATTTTGACACTTTGGAATTTTGGAACTTTAGAGCTTTGAAACTTTAGAATTTTTGAATTTTGAAACCTTGGACCTTTGAACCTTTTGGAATTTTGCAACTATGGAATTTTGGAACTTTGGAGCTTTGAAACTTTAGAATTTTTGAATTTTGAAACTCTGGACCTTTGAACCTTTTGGAATTTTACAATTCTGGAACTTTGAAGCTTTTGCAATTCTGGAATATTGAAAATTTGGAAGTTTGAAATTTCTGAATTCTGAAGATTTGGAATTTCGGGATTCTGGAGATTTGGATTCTTGGAATTTTGCAATAATCCTTTGCAAAACGATATATTACACATGGTTAGATTTAACTCTCATGACATTATGTTTAATTAAAAAATTTTTGGAAACCACCACAGCCAAAATCCAGAAAAAAGATATTTTCTCTATTATGTGTATACTTGACTTTATAAGATTTTAATTACTATTGACTATTGTATATCAAAAAAAAGAAAAAATCGACCATACTGTACTCCGTTTAATCGTGTGAAAATTACGCGGTTTTTCAGAACAAATTACTTAATACTACGCAGCGGTTGACCAATTAAAATACATTACTGGTAACGAGCCGAATGAGATGCATAAGTTACGCATGCTCAATTGATAATGACGTTTACACGTATGCGTGTGCACGAATGTGTTCTTCATGTGCTGTAGCACATCCGCGTAGTGCGCGTGACTCCTGCACATCTAATAATTTAAGGAACTTATGAAACATAGTTAGCCATCGTGCTTCCCACGTGGCAGTCGATGTTCAATTTCATTTTGATTACTATTTCGCGGTTACTTCGAATTTAACGCTGCTCTATTAATAAAATGCAACCTTCGTAATCTTAATCTGTACAATGCATGGTCCATTTTTTAAATAACCACATTAATTTTTATTAACTTTAATAAAAATTAAGATTTCGTTTCTAAAAATTCATTAAAATGAGCTTTTAATCTTTTGTTGCATTGTGTTGTAAATTTGTTACATAAAATAATATGCTATATAATTCTTCCATTTTACCAAACATAAATGAACTGCACATTTTATTACTATTATTAAAATTATTGAAAAATTCTAACCATAATTATTAAAATTATTAAAGAATTCTAATTACAATTTTTCATTAATATTGTTGATTTGCAATATAATATTTATTATTTTTTTTTCTAACATAAGTAATATAGAAGAAATTTTAGTTATTATTTTATTATTATTATTACTTTGGTGAGTATGAAATGTAAAGCGAAATTTTACCATTCATATTTATTTATATTTAGACTTCAAATCTAACCTAACTTGATACGTAATTCTATCATTTAAATTTATTTATTCTTATTTATATTATAAATATAACCAAACGTAGTTACGAACAAAAGTAATTATATTTGTATAATAATATTGTGTAAAAGCTTATGTTAGGTTAGGTTTCATCACCTACAATTTGTTAAGTTAAGTGAGGTAAGGTTATTAAAATAACTTAGATTATGTTATTCGAATTAAAATGAATTATTGTTAGCCTATATTTTATATTATCAGATTAGATTAGAGAAGACTACGTTAGGTTAGATTACATTATTCAAATCTTTTAGGTTAGTTTAGATTACGTCAGTTGTCATTATTCAAATCCATTAGATTAAATTATGTTTATGATTATACCATTATGTTTGGCTAGGTTAGATTAATTCTAGTCACGTTCGGTTAGTTATGTTAAAATCTGTTAGATTAAATGTCATAATTCGAATCTACTAAATTAAGCTACGTTAGGTTAAATTTTATCATTAAAATCTATTATATGTTCTGCTTAAATTACTAGATTAGGTTTGGTTTTGTTAGGTTAGATTACTGAACTTAGGTTAGGTTTTATCATTTAAATTTACTTATCCTTATTTATACTTTCAGTATAATGTAACATACTTTAAACAAGAATAACCAGATCTACATGATAAAATTACGGGTTACATTTCACTCCTGTCATTTATTAAGAAGTATCTTAACAATATAGACGATGTATGCAATTATCGATATCATTTTTATATTATCAATATTTATCTATATCATTAGTAACAGCAGTTCTACCCTAAATCTTCCACATCAGAGATTAAAAAGAAAAAAAATATAAATTCCAACTGTTATAATAAAAATATAAACTGCTATAAATATTTAAAAATGAATATCACTCTCATAAAGAATAAACAAGAAAATATGAATATCCAACTTATATGATTCTTCAACTGCAAATCTTATTAAAACAAACAATATTTTTCCTCCGTAGTTACCATATGCCACTAAAAAATAGTGCTGCTATTTCTAACAACCATCGCGCATTCCCACTTCCAATGCATTCAATTTACTAATTAATCTTTTGTTTGCCTAAGCAAAAAACGTAGAAACAAAGCGATAAGTCGAATTGTTCATTCGAACCTTGTATCCGGTGTTTACGCTGGACCAAGCGAGGGTGTTTCGTCGAGGAATATTCGTGGATCAAGGAAGCTGTAGTTGTTTCCCTCCTGATAGCAGCATCGTCATCCCTTCTCACTTCGTGTGTATGTACGTGGATGCGTGTATCCGCGCACTTACCGGGGTTTAAGCACACTACCTCTCACTTTTCTCGCACTTTCCACAACCACGAGACATCATGACAACCGACGGACACACCAACACCCGACGACGCGTACAGTACTCGATTCCAGTTATATACAAGCCGGAATAAACTAGCAACGTAACGGATAAATCGCAAAAGCTCGTTGAACGATCTCGCGAGAGAACATCTCTCGTTGCTGTATCCGCGCGAAGGGTGAAACCATGGAAGCCGGGTACGAAGGCGCGTTTCTATTCGCCGATACCGAAACGGGTGGTTGATCGTTTTTTAGGTTACGTTGTTCGTGCACTTCCCGTTCGAGACGCTTTTCACGAATTCTGTCTGTCGCGAACGCTAGCCAGCACTATTGTTTCCCTGCGAAGGGTATCGGCTCGGTGTGCGATATGCTGCAGCCTGTAGAGTTCTGAGCATGCGAAATGTCGCCTGCCACCCCCTGCCCGTTGGTCACGTGGTTGGCCGACTCGTTCCCCGTCTTCTTCCCTCGTTCGTTCCCCTTCTCTGTTCCCCTATTTCGTCTCCCTTTTACCGACGGTGCTCTTGCTGGTTGTCCCGTTTTATCCATCGGACGCGCACAGGTCGCTCGTTAATTAGAACGAGAGGGGGCTAATGGCAGCTCGCTCGGCCTCTCGAATGTCGGACAAAGAGGAAAGACGACAAAGGACGAGTACAGAAGTGAACAGAGGAGAGAGATACACAGCCGAGTTACCCCCTCGTTCGAATAATTGTCACCTCCTGTCATCGTTCGTTTTTATGAATCGCACTCGACTGACAGCTTGAGAAGGAATTTTTTTGTTTGTTTGTCCTGGAAAATAAAAGACCTCGGCTTTGAATAATGACCGAAAAAAGGATTGGGATCTTGATAACCGCGAAAGAACGCGTCGAGGAGTTACGGAATTAGCGTGACCAAAGGGCTGCTCGTTTAACCTGTTAACTGAAGACGAATTAACTTGTTCGAGTGGAAAACGTGTGGAACTTAGTAATGCAATTACTGAAAGATTTTTATCGCTGGTAATATTATTACGTTTGTATTCGTACATAGGTGTATACGTCGTACTATGGTAAATCATTTTAGTAGACTGCAGATGTGTATACAATTTTATTATATTTGTACAATTCTACGAGTTATTTTTTTTTATTTGTTTCTAAGTGTATCCTATAAATTCTATTTCCGAATTTTTGAAGTTAATATATAATTCGTTATAATAATTCGTTAACATTTTTCGGCATATAATATACACTTTAAAATCAAAAATAAAATAGAAGAAAATTTAAAAAATTAATTTTGTGTCTCCATAAAAGTCAATGTACATTATAAAAAGCATCTTAAATTCTTTAATTTAAAATAAGAAAAGACTCGTCATTTGACCATTTTGGTAATTTTAGTATTAACTCTGACCTAGAATATAATGACATTATTTTATTATTACCTAGCATGGGTGTCAAAATAATAACGAACTTAATTTTCTTTTTCAGATATTCTATAAATATTACAGAAGTAATGAAAAATGATGCGAAAATATCTTTTCCAGTATTTCAATATTTAATGAAAAAAAGGGCATGAGTTACAGTTCCTGATTTGACCGTTTCAGTATTCTAAGTTCAAATTATATTTTCTTATCACATTTGTCCAAATTACACAAGTCATTATAATCTTATAAAATAAATTATTGTTTTATTTATACAGGAAACTGATTTGTGTTCATGAAAGAGTGTTATTAAGAATGATCTAATGAATTATACAGAAAAAATTTAATCTGATCACGGATCTTTACACAGGAGAAATTGTTATTATATTGTTGGCCACTGGTGGTGACTTCGTTCATATTGTCTGCCGGTGTTCACGATAATTCCCACATTTAACGTCTCTTTTTCGTACGGGACAGGTTTTCGAATAAACGTGCTGGGCGATGTGATGCGACAACGATCGTCCACGTTGTCGTTTTGCATCGCGATCCTGCGTGCTACGTGTGTGTTTTTCCCCCTTTGTTTTATAATCGGAGATAGAGAATTCTTGACGGGAGGTCCAGGCAACCCTACGTCATACTTGCTCGCTTCTTGGAACGGGAATGTGCCTACTATCTTTTTTCCTCTCTTTATCGATTATAGCGTGATAAAAGTGGCGCGAGATGCTTGTCCCATCTGTCATTGAGCGTTAAAATACAAGTTTCTCCTGAATATAAGATGGACGATTCATCTTCATGTTCAACGGTAATGTGTCGAAAATTCTCTCTAAATGAACTGATCTTTGTCACAGTATTTTGTTTTTAATCTTTCATTGGAAATTATTTGATTACATTTTGTAGGTAAATTGGATCATTTATGTCATTTTTGTGATTTAAATTTATTATGGGACACCTGTTAAAGTCACCGGTATGTTATGAAACCGTTGATTGTATGAAATATTTGATAAAAATTCAGAGGAATGTCAAATGTCGCCCTAGATTGCCTACGAAGGGTCAATTATACTGATACGCTGAAAATATTTTCGCGAAGTGTAAGGTTACTGGTAATGAAAGTATCCCGCGAGAAGCTAATATTATTTTTGACTATGATAATCAGGCTAAGGAGAGACAGGGGTAGCAACCTAATTTCGCACCACCTGCACTTACACTCGTGCATTTTATACCAACTAAGTGGGATTCTCAAATTTCCGCTGGCTAATGTTACCATGAAATTTTTCAAAATGCAAAGGCTCTTTAAATTATGATGTAAATACGTACGAAAATGTAACCTTTAATTTGACACCATCTTTATGGAATTTTGTATGCAAATATCCTTAGGAAAATAAGGGGTCTTCAATACATTTCAAAATACAATATTCAGTTACAAATATTATCTTCTTTAATTTTAATTTATATTTGCTTCATTTAAAGTTTTATATCATAATTATAACATTACATATAAATATTTTTTTGAAATTAAACTGAAGGTCTTCAATATATGTATAATTCTCTTTTCACTTATTTAACATTTGATACAAATAATAACTAATGTGGTATAAATATTATTTTTTAGTCTATTACTCATTCAGAAAAATTAAATTAAAGATTTTTATTACAATATTTTGTTAAGTACTACCTTCACTCTTAACTGTCGATACAAATATAGAATTCTATTTAATTTTCAATTCTACATCGTATTTATGTTACATGCAATTACCGTAATGTAGTCATAGTGTAAATCAGTGTAGAATTTTTAATGCATAACATACCTTTTAGACCACGTTATATGATACTTAGTACAAATATTGAATTACATTTAATTTAATTTCCAATTTAACACAATATATAGTGCATACCTTTTCCACCCCCATATGAACCTGTCATTTTTCTTAAATTAATTTTTAATTTAGCCGAATATTGCTAATATCGTGGTATTGTACATATAAATATTTGCAAAATAAAAAGAAGTTTTGAATGCACGATAATCTTCTCACTCTATTATATAATATTTAATACGTGAAATTTTTCTTAATTTATTTTTTAATTAAACGCCATATTTATGGAATTATGTATGTAAATATCCTTGCGAAGGCAAATGGAGAATATTTGATACACAATGCTTTTTTCATTTGATTATACAATGCTGTTTTTCAAAAATTATATATAAAATTTTTTATTAAGAGTGGATTCACAGAAATAAATTTTTAATATATTACCAAAAGCAAAACAAATATATCAATAGTTGCTTTATAAATTTCAATACATTCCATAAATTTCAACATGCTTTTATTTACAGTTCTATTCGATTCTTGAATACAATAAATCAAAAAAGACTTAGAAGACTGACTAAGTGTTAACTATACGACATACTTGCCATTTCAAAAATTCGATTTCGAGTGACCAAAAGTCACGATTCCTTCGCTAGCAAAATAATCAAGGTAAATAATTATTCTCGAATTGGGAGTCGAAGAAAGAACGAAATAAAACGCGAGATGAAGAAGAATGTGCTAAAACGCGAGACAGAAGAGAATGTGCCACGATAGCTTTATTATCTCTTTCACATCCCTGATACGTAATATGTATTTCGTATCAAAGTGCACACGGTAGCAAATGCGATTATGCGAATTCGTTTCCTCGTGGATGTCGTAGTTCGCATTTATTCGTCGTAGGAAACGTCGAGTATGCGTTTCGGGCATGTTTATGTACCTGCCGAACCGATAAGCAAGCACATCCGAAATACAAAAGCGATCTCGATCGACGACTCGTCAAGAAACGACAAAGGAGATTACTATTTTTACATAATGACGGATAAGTGCACGAGGGTCGGATAAGGGTGCCTAATCTGACCGTAGTTTTACGCTACAGCGGACGCGAAGAATTTTTCCCAAATTTCAGGCAAATAAAAAGCATGTTATTCCGTGGAGATCCTTCGGGAGCTTTCAAAACATATTTTTAGCTGCTCGGGTTCCTTTTATTCTAAGTTTGTGTTGATAAGTTATGGTTTTGTGTGCAACCTGGTGCAATGTTATTTGACTAAGAATTAATGTAACAAGAAGAAAATTATTATGATTGTTTAGATTATATTAAATTAATGACATAATAACATTTATATAAAAACCAAACATAAGGTCTCTAAAGCCATTTTAGAATTTCAAAAACTAGAGTACCATGTTTCCAAGGTACCCCCATTGCGAATGAAATTCAGCTCCGATTTTCCTAAATCATTATAAATACCTGTACATCACAAAATGGTGCATCGCAGTGTTGGATGACTAAGCATGTAATCTTATCTCAGTTAAATGTTTGCAATACCAAATCATCCTAGCAGTAGCCACAAACTCCAAAAAGATATTACACACGTTAATCATAAGTCATCCCCCACTAGAATAAGTACTTCCTGAGGACAAGTGAGAGAGTCCTTAACCAAGTCGTGGTTTTACATCATTATTCAGAACTATAATTAGTTAAGTTTCCGAGTGATCTAACATAGTATTTAATAAACCTTTCATCCACGAAAGCGACCAATCTCTTCACCAGCATCCCAACAAAAGAATGGCAAACGTGTCGATAATGATCGAGTCGCGGTAGCTCTTTAAAAAAGGTCCACGTAAGCATCGTGTCACGATGGCCCACGGGTACAAATTCAATATACTCCGCGGGGAGTGTTATGGGAGCGAAATGGATGTCGTCGAGTTTCCCAAGAGTCGTTCGACGGAGATCGAAGGTAATAAAGGGAGGCACGTGAAGGAGACATGGCGTCGACATCCTGTGGGTTGGTCGAGGCAGTCGATTTGCCTCGCCAGAGAAAAAGGAGGCGGAATGGGGGTTACCTTTATGATATAATGGCACCGTGACGCTATATACGCTCGCCGAGCAACCCTTCTGTTCTGTACAGATAAATACGACAGCGTGCAAGTAACCATGCTCCTCTCGAAGTATGCGGGATGCTTGCGGTCTGTCTCTCTGCTCTAACGTACAAATGGTGTGTTCCACGTAACGTACGTACGCGACCGACCACCCAAGGGTGCACACACGAACGGTCTAGGAAAAAGTGCACGGGGCATAGTATTTGCCTTGTCAAAGCCCAGGTATGTACATACACCTTTTAATGCCCAAACGACACATTTTCTCCGCGTACTGGAAAGTCGACCGTCGGTACTGAATGCATGGGATAAAGTCGACTTATATGGAAACCTTGAGTATCAGGCTCATGGAAAAATTAAATTGCAGAACATAAGATGCTTTTCTTAACGAAACAGAAGAACGAAGTGTATAATTTATGTTTCATTGCTTATTTATTTAGTGTTGTACTTTGTTTTAATTTTTGAACTGCTTATCAAACATCTGTAAGCTTAGTGTTAAATTATGATCCCCGACGCAGAATGCTTTTATTAAAATTTTTTATACGGTTCCTGCAAACAAAAACACAAAAAAGTATAATTCTTACTAAATGTATAATTCTTTGTTAGAAAAAATGTATAATAATTTTAATATGTGACAACTTAATCAGTAACAATTCAAGACACACGCATCACTTTCTCATGCAATTTACACCTACGACTACAATATTAAAAATTGAACAAAATACCAAAATTGTTGAAAATTGCAAAAGTTATTAAAAATACGATTCGGTCAAATTTCATCGGCGACAAAGTGCCATTAACCTTAAGGACAAGAGGAAGGAAAAAAGAAGTGAAAGCGCTTTCTTTTTCCGGTAAAAAGGTGGCCTTTTGTTTTCTGTCGAACCGTATATATCCTCACGGTAAGATCCTGTTAAAATAAGTGCACACACGTGTAGAGATCCTGCGGGTGAGTTGAGTCCAGGCCGAGTAAGCGAGATATCTCTCTCCTTTTTGTGTATGTGTGTGTGGGGGTGGGGGTCGCGTACAAACACATCCAGAATATTCGTCCTGGTAGGTATGTACGAACGTATGTCAGCTTATATGGGGTGTACGAATCGAAAATGTCACGTCTATTGCCGACATTATTTAGTACCTTCGGAATACGAAACATTTATGATTATACAATTCAAATCTTGGCGTTAGGGACCGCAAAACGCATTGTGTAAGGTAGCGAACATCTTTGCTAAGAAAAGTGGTGATGTAAGGGAAAAACCTACCACTTAATAGGTTCGTTATGGATTAAGTCACATAATATTAGAGATATTAATATCTTTTAATTTATGATGTACCGAAGACCTTTTAATTTGCTGTTCTTTCTGTTTGATCACTTGAGTTGAATTCACTGCTTGGTTTAATATAATTCAATAGCAAGGCGAGGGGTTTGTTAAATGAAACGTAAATTGCTTAATTCTTTAATTATGAATTTACACAATTTTTAAATTGAAAAATTGAGAAGTTGAGATTAAGCAATTTGTCAAGTATTAAGCAAGCAATTGTCAAGTTTTAAAATTGACAAATTAAAAAAGTTTCAAGTTTTCAAATTGAGAAATTAAAGAATTGAACAATTTCTAATTTACATACTTTCAAACTAAGAAATTAAAAACCTTCTTAAGTTAAAAATCTTGTAATGTATAAGTTTTAAAATTTCTTATCTTTTGAATGAAGAAATCGAAAAACTCGCCCTCCAAAATTAAATAAAAATAGTGGGAGGCTCCATCCCTTGCGCTTGTACGTTGTACCTGGACCTTAAAACCCAAATACACTTATGAATACCTTTCCAACATAAATACTTCATACGTTATTTAATTATTATTACTTCATGCATAATTATAGTATACGTGTATTCGTGTTGTGAATCCGTGTTGTATTATCGTCACGTTTGATCAATGGATTAGCAGAGGTGGAATAAATTTAAATTGCAGTTTTTAATTAACAGGCGGGTGCATAAATCATGAAGAGATAGCAAGCTAATTTTCGGACACCCTGTGTGTATGTAACGCAGGCGCAGGCAGCTGTCACCTTACACCCATGGAGGAGGCATGGGCTGCGGCGGCCATTCTCAACTTATCTCTAGGATCTTTGTAAACATGTCGTGAAATCCGAGTATTCAAGCAGTGGCGTAGATCGTGAGGTGGAAGGACCCGTCGGAGTCTTCTCGAAGTAAGAATTAAAATCTCCGGCGAGCGCAGTTGAGACTGCAACATTGCGTGTACATGGTTTCCCTGGCAACCAGGACCATGGTGGCAACGTCACTAAATGGAGCACATCTTTGTTCCGTGCTAATAAAAGGACCTCGGAAGGTGCCACCATCTTCTTTACCCTCTTCCTTGTCTCTTAGTCTTCCTGCTTAGGGCATTCATCCTCCTGTTACTGCGTATTGCTATAAAAATACTCGCGATGCCGCGATAACTTGATAATGGTTTATTTATAAGCTGGTTCCAGAAAATATATTCTTAGATACGCGTCTGCCTCATCTATGATTCTTAATCAACGATAATTGCATCTGTGAAATAATTTTGTTTTGTTAAAGATATTATATAATTAGAAAATTAAGAATTGACTAAACTCTACATTAGACAGTTTGGAATCGAAATCTTAGGCGGGTTAATTATAATCCAGACTTACGAAATTATTCAGTGGCAACTCAACTAAAATTAAATGTATCAATTTTTAAACAAAAGGGTCTCGTTACAAATTGGTATTCATATTCGTTTAATAAAATATGGCAGAGTATAAAATTAAATTGTCGTCGCAATAGTCGACTATTCCAGTGTTTCAACTTTAAATACTCATGGAGTTCTTGTAATTTATACTTGAATATTTATGAGTATGCTTAAGTACATTTTTAGATTTTGTTAGTCGATTAAACTGACTAATGTGGCTCAATATAACTTCTAAATACGTAAATAAATTTCAATATATTTATTATTACGTGACGTTTCGAGACTGTTGAAGGCTTCGAACTCAAGACTTGCCAGACAAGAACCGCAGCAACGTGAAACATAATACAAGTTGCACCAGCCAGTCCTAAGCTCAGCCATGCGAAGCAGCCAGCGGCTAAGGAACGCGACGTACGAATCAGATTACATCTTGCGTTGGCTGCTTATCTTTATTCTTCACCTTACCTCGCTTCAATTCACTTCATTTCGCTTCAGTGACAACCCTTCGATCGGCATCTTATAACCGGCTCGTGATACATATTCGTCCTTGACAACCGCTTTCAAACGCTTTAAATGATCAAAAACTACACTTTCACTAATAGAGCCCCGCTGAAAAAGACACATGCCACATCTATGCCGAATTATAGTTTTTTATACCATCAATTTGTCAAAAATTCATAATTTTCATGTAAATTTACAGTACCGTGACATGTATCCTTTTTCTATTTCAATTTTGAATTTAGTTGAGCACCTTAAAAGTATCTGCTTGCAGAGAACAATGGCAACTTTGTATTTCATTGTGGAATATCAAATGTTAACTACGTTCTAGCATCAAACATGAAAGAAATATTCACAAGTTTAATATCTTTCTTTGTTCTTAGAAAACCGTGGTATAGCAGGGGTAAAAGATAAATGGAAATGATTTTATTTTATGAATAATTTAAAAAAATTTTATTCCTTACCATACAAGCTTATCTTTACGGTTTTATCCTGTTTTAAATTTAAAATTCTTGTACTAAATATTAAATATTCCTTAAAATTAATTAACATTTACTCATTGTCAGTTCCGCTTGTTTGTAAGAAGACTGGTGCTTGGGCACCTTGTGCAACCTGTATTAATTGAGGTTGAGCTTGTATCGGAGCAGTTTGAATTATGATTGGCTGATTGCTTCCTCCTTGTACTTGCATACGGATCATTTGAAGTTGTTGAGGTGTTAATTGTATCTGGAATTATACACAAATTTTCATATATGAATGATTAAGTTCGTGAATAAATTAATAACAAATTTACTATTAATTACTATAAATAATTTACATACAGGTATTTGTTGAATTTCCCCACTAGGTGTTACAATTTGTTGTACAATCTGTATCCCTCCAGTTTGTGTAGTGGGTGTTTGTTGAGCCTGCTGCAACTGTATAATTTGTTGTCCTGATGACTGTTGTGGACTCTGCACTGTTACAGTCTGTGTTGTACTTGCACTAGTAGTTTCCTACCATCAATATATAGAATGAACAAATATAATAACTCTAATTAAGTAGAATATTATTATATAAAAATAGAAAATATACCTGTTCTACAGGACTACCAATATTAATTGTTTGTATCTGTCCAGTGGAAGGCTGTACAATTTGTATAGGTTGCGTAGTTGTATTACTATTTTGTACACTTTGATTAGCAGACGCTTGTTGCTGCGCCAATTGGAAATAGTAATGTACTTGATCAGAGTTGATAGAAGTACGTACAGTATTTTCAGTTTGTGCTTTACTCTGTTTTAATTCATCTCTAGGCACTATATCAATGAGAAAATCAAACTGATCATACTTAGTTATTGCCATTGCTATATCATTCCGTTGAAGTGTTCGTCTTTTATTATCTTCCGTATGGACCCATGCCCTCAGGGTCAATTCATGTATAAAAATTTCTGCAGCTTTAGAAAATAACATGGGAGCTTCCGCACTTATCATTTTTACATCACCATCTAATTTCATTATTTTTTTTATCCTAGCCAATGGTAATGACTGTGTTTTCAAGTCCATCTATAAATTTTAAAGTTATTTTAATAATTATAAAATAGGTTTAACATTCACTTTCTTACTTACAGTAGTAATTTTTTTAATTTCTTCTGTAACTTTTGGCCAGAACTGTGCCAAAGCTTGTTGAGCTTCGGAACTACCAGGTGATGCAATTTGTAAATCTCCATTGGAATCACCTTCAACTTCACTATCTTGATTACTGGATAATCAATAATGTTAATAATAAATGCTTGGTCAACTATGGTAAACTCAAAGATACATAACCTAATAATTTAGAAATAAATATTATTACTTACGCGTTTACAAAGAATACCGACATTTTTTACAACTAACGTTTCATATAATACAAAGCGAGTTTTTTCAAATTCTGAAAATCATCTTGCCAATTATAAATAACACCAAATAAAGTGTAAATATTTTAGTTTAGTTTATAAGAGCGATTCACAACAAAATTGTTGTTTGCACCAGCAACAACCAGCAAATACACTACCATGATTATAATCAATTTTATTTTACTTTAAGGTTTAGTGTATTCACGGTAGATGGCAGAAATAGACAGGTTTACATTTTGTTCTGGACGAATATTCCTGAAACTTTTGCTAATTATTTTTTGTAATTATCATAAGTATTGATAAATTAATTTATTATTGAAAATAATATGTATTTTAAAAATGTTTAACTAATGTTATAACAAAGTAGGTATATGGTAAGGCACACCTTAAAAATGTAACATCATAAGATATTGTGGAATAAATATTTTTATAAATACATTAAGAAAATAAATACTAATATAATAATTTTTTATATTTACACTTATCTGTACACTTATATTACATAATGTAATAATAAATATTGAAAAAAATCAGACAGTACTTATAATCTAATGGTTTTGTTCACTCATGCATAGCTTTATAGCTGCAAATACTTTGAAAGACTGCATTTAACACTTCTTTTGCTGTATGAGTATCAGAATTACTAATTCTTATAATGCTTCCAAATTCCCTGATATAATGATCCAATTCCATATGATCTGACAAATCTTTGGTTGCCATGTACTTATTTGTTAATTGTGATAATTTCAATAGATCAGAACTAAAAGCTTCATCCAAATCAAATAATTCTAAGGCTGGTGGTGGTAATTCTTGAAAACTTGGAGGAAAGACCTTTAAACAAAATTTTCAAATTACATCCTTCAAAATATATGAATACTAAAATCATTATAATAATAATAATAAAACTTTACTGAAGCTTGTGTAGGTGGTAAAGGAGATTCAAAATGTGGAGGAATTAAAGTAAGCGGTTCATGTTTCACCCCTAAAACTTCATAAGCTTTTATACAAGCTGGTACCATATCTAAATTTATTGAATAGAAATGATGTTTAAACAGTTTGGTATATTCATGAGGGTTATCCATTATATCCATATCCTGAGTGCACACTTTTGGATTATCTGCTTGTTGTGTTATGTCTGGGATAAAGTTGTATTCCCAATACTGATTAAATAACGTGATTATTAAGAATCATACATAAATAAATATAAGCAATTAGTAGAATTTTCAAACTTACATCCACATCATCCATTTGTGATTCTTTGATCACAATTTCTTTGGATTCAAAAAAGTCAAATATCATTTCTCTTAATGAATCATTTTTTTCTTTTTCAATATATGAATCAGTCAACATCCTTGATGAACCTAAGACAAGTAATTTGCCACCATTTTTGTCACTGTAATGGTATGCACAAATAGGTCTGTTTGTTGGAATGGCAATAGATCCACTGGATAGCGCAACTACAGAAGGTTGTGCTACATTTAAAGTTGCACCATATGGGTATAAAAAATTCATATCCCTGAAATACAGTAAACATAAAGTAATTATATTCATATTACTTTGTAATTTAAATAATTAAGTAACTTATTTGATTAAATTTACATGTATTCATTATGATTTTTTGAAAATATTGACTTATTTGACATTCCTTGTGAAATAAAACATTCTTTTGGATGCATAGTTTGACTGTAACTCATACGTATTACACTATCTAAAAATAAAGTTGTAATTTAAATTATATTCAATTCCTTGTTTTGTTTTGAATATCTGTAAGCTGATATATTGTTCACCATTGTTCACCATTATACCAAATTCCTCCAATAAAAAGTTTACATTCGTGTTTGATATTTTTTCACCGCCTTCACCGAGCATAACTAATACGTGTCCGCCGGAATTTAAAAATGTTCTTATAGAATTCATTTCTAATTCGGTAAATTTACTTCGCGGCCCTGGTAATACTAATATTTTGCCTGTTGATAATAACTCCTCCGTTAAGACATCGTTATTTCTAAAATATGATAAAATTATAGAAAATATTGCACTTTCAATCGAAATAATATTAAAATGCGTTTACAGACTCGATGAATTTCCATTTCGATTTTAATTTTCTTTGCAACACTTTGAATTCCTCATTCAATTTTCTTTCGTTTTTCGAGGCATCAAAAATAATCACATTCAAGTTATTGTTATCACCGCCGCCAAGGATCATGCTCATAATGATTGTCACTTTATGAAAGAATATTCAATAATTACTATAACGAAATAAATTTTGAAGCAACACCCTGCTTTCACAAAATGTGATACAACGTGTTCTCCAGGTGTATATTACATTTTGTATACAGTTTATCGTTGCTAATAGCAACTATGATCATATCAAACTTTTGAATGCAATGGTGGATAGTACCCGGTCATTATAACTACTGATTGCGCAAATTGATAAACATTAATTGATTTATTAAATTGATCGAATATTATGATAATATTATTATAATTAATGTCTTACTACATCTATATAAATGCAACATATTTAACAATATAAAAAGTAGAGGAATAATATTTTTTATTACTGTAACTAATTATATTATTTTTTTGATTTTAATAAATAAGAATTATTTAGTTTCAGAATTATTGAAGTTAATGATGCATCGTAAATTTCATATGCACTTTTTCATATCTATATCCTTAAATTTAAATGGCACGAAAGTGCATTTAAAAGACCAGCTGATCAGATACAGATGGCGTTTTAGATGTCAGCATGATGTAAATGGTTTCAAAATGGATGGAGGTGCATATGAGTGGAAATAGTTTATTGAATAACAAAAATAGTTAAAATGACTACCATTGTACAAGAGGATAATGAATTAAAAAGGTTACTCGGTAACCCTGCAAAAAATGCTGGTGAAGAATGTTCAATGGCTCCGCCGCAATCGGTAAATTAAGAAATATGTTAACACCTTAAACACTTATTCAGGTTTTTTCAATTTCAATCTTTCATTTGGATTTTAGACTAACGTCCCGCGGCCGAGCACATCACAAAATGTTAATCCACAATTGATGATTACCCCATTGACTCCTGCTCATAGTACAAAAGAAGTTCTAGAACCGTGTTTACAGTAAGTGAGAAAATTACTGAAGTTTGTAAGTTTTGTTTTGTTCTGGTAAGAATTATTGGATGGCTACATTTTATAATAATTAAGATGAATTAATTTTAGGTTTTAGAATATTGATCACATTATTATAATTTGAATATAATTCAGTGGTATATTGAGTGATTTCTTTCTGTTTTATTATAGGAATGTAGTTTCTACAGTTAACTTAGGTACAGAATTAAAACTTATGCAAATTAATACAAGAACAAGGAATTCAGAGTATAATCCAGCTAGATTCACAGGTTTAATTATGAGAATTAGAAATCCTAGAGCAACAGCACTAATTTTTCATTCAGGAAAGTTGGTATGTACTGGAGCAAGATGCGAAGAGGACTCCTATTTAGCAACAAGAAAGTTTGCACGAATAATTCAAAAATTAGGATTTCCAGTAAGAATACCTATCACTGTATTAACAAAATAATAATTTTATCTTTTCTTTCCATTTGTATACTTTATTAAATTCTATTTGTTCCAGGTTAAATTTTATAATTTTAAGATACAAAATATAGTTGCTACATGTGACCTAAAATTTCCAATTAAGTTGGAAAATTTAAATCATATACATGGACAATTTTCTAGTTATGAACCTGAGCTTTATCCGGGTCTCATATACAGGATGGTATCACCAAGGGTGGTGTTACTTATATTTGTTAATGGAAAAATTGTATTGACGGGTAAGAAATAATTCAGCTAACCCTTTGCACTCGACTGTCCTTTTTAAGGGAACATTAATAAATGCTGAAACAAAATCCCCGAGTGCAGAGAATTAGAAAAAAGGTTTTTATTATGACATTTATCAAATAATATGCGTTTTAGGAGCAAAGAATCGAACTGAACTGCAAGATGCATTAAACAATATATACCCAATACTGAAAAGTTTTAGGAAGCAGTAAAAATATTTTCAGTACTTTAAGCTTTTTAATAAACACGCATAATTTGTATCAGAATACGACGAACTACGACCATAACGATATAATTTATTAGTAAATCGAACGTTATTTATTGAATGGATAGGAATTTTGTATAAATGCCATTTTTATTTGCAATCACTGAAGAATTTATAAATGATCTTATACAATAAATTAAGTACAATGGATTGTATAAATATTGTATAGAAATTGTATATAAGATCATGTTCTCGTAAAGTTAATAGCTAAGTGTCTTTTGTATGCAAGGGAAATAAATACAAGGTATTGTTTTAAAAAAAATATGTATTTCTGAATGCTGTAATAATGAAAGTATTAATCTATTTTATATCGTTGTGGAACGAAAATACAGTCGATCAAATGTAGCACATTTATAAAAATCATGAAATTTCTTATCGTACGAGATACACGATATGTTATCAAAAAAGAAACTGCAAAAATATTTTACGAGTAGATAAATTACTTAACATCGTTGTATTTATTATTATTTACCATTCCACGAGACAACGATAATTTTATATTTGAGACTTTTGCTAATTCAGTTTCTTGTTAATTGTTAATACTTGATAACAAAATATACATAATTTGTAAAAACATAACACATTTATATATTTAACATGTATCGGATTTAAAATATATACACACATATACATCGATTCTAAGTCATCATATCTCATTGCAGGTAATATTATAATATTAAAATATTTGTGTATTCTTAGCACCAGACCTTTGGATTATGTAAACTCTTTTCTTTTTGTAGATAAAAATTCATCCGTCATTTGTGTTTTTTTACTGAATCACACAGTGAATCGAGGATATTCATTGATATATTTTAAAACATTTTCGGTTCATATGTTGAAGTAATTTGGAAGATATGCCACATGTTTTAGTAAACAACATTTAAACCTTTCTTCGCTGCGATTGGTAACTTTTCACCTCGGAAGAACGGATTATGCTCCTGAAATAAAAGGTTGCAAATTTGTTTATTTTTGATGCACAGAAAATATTGTCTCTAATTAATAAGAGACTGTTCAAACAAAATTTTCACAATTATTGAAATGGTGCAGTAATCTTTTTTAAATGCATTACAGGTACAGGGATGCACTAATTTGAAACATTTGTATTTAATATAAATTATAAGCAAAAATAAGAGATACAGTAATGTAAGAAATAAGGTAAGCTGATGTTTTTCATCAATCATAAAAAGTCGATTCATTTCGATTAAAAGTAAAAACAATAATATTGATCGCAGTGTATCTTACAGCTTGAAACTGATCGACGATCTGATTGAAATTGGAATTTTGAATGTGCATGCTTGGTAGACTGTTGCTATTTGTAGAATCAACAGGGCAATGCAACATGTGTTCGGTGTCGCACATGCAATCCTGTGCGCTTTGGTAATCCCTGCTGAATGCGGCTGTATTTTCAAAATCCATGATGCAGTTATCGCCTGCACAAAAATCATGTAATAAAATTGTAATTGTTTTAATAAGTACAATGTACTATATATATTATACATTTGTACCTTAGAGTAAGTGAATATATCAATGATTCCATGTAAATTATATTTATGTTAAAATCATACTACATACATTTCAGAAAGTAATTTTAGGAGTTACCAGACATATTAATTATTTTTAGCAAATTAAACCTAAAAAATGAGGGCCCGAACACGCATATAAGGAAAATAAAAAAATGAATATTTCGGCGCTTTGATCACGTAGTATGGTTCCTGAGGCATTTAGAAACAAATTTCTATTAGGGTTTGATGCGTTTTGATGCCTAATAAAGCCAGAAAATCAATTTTTGTCGAATTCGGTCCAAAACGGTACAGGTGGCGCCATCTAGCGGCGAGCGGCGGAACCACGAAAAACTAAAATTTCGATTTTCTCCGAAATTAGGCAATTTCACGTATTTCTGAGGGTCAGAAATTGTTCTGTGATCTCTCTAGAACCTATGTATCGCCACAAGAACCCCCAAAAAGCGCTAGAAAAGAAAATAGAAAAATAGTCCAAAACATGGACTAAAAAATTGGCGTCCATCTAGCGGTGAAAGTTGGAACTACAAAAATATAAAAATGCGATTTTCTCGAAAATTAGTGAACTTTGAGTACTTCCGAGGCTCAGAAAGTGTTATGTGATCGCATTAGGAGCAAAATAAAGCAATAAAAGTTTCCTAAAGGCTTTAATAAAGAAAATAAAAAAAATATCATTTTATGGACAAAATTTGTGGCGCCATCTAGCGGCGAAACTGCGAACTAAACTGAAAAAACGTATGTCCGAACACGCGTTAAGGGGTCAAATAAAAATTAATTTTCTGGGCTTAATAGGCAAAAAAATGAACAACTTATTCAAAAGAAATTGCTTTAAAATGTCTACAGAAGCATACTACATCGTCAAAGTTGCGAAATATTACTTTCTATATTTTTCCTTAACGCGTGTTCGGACATCGCGTGTCCGGGCATACGGTTTTCAGTTTAGTTCGCAGTTTCGCCGCTAGATGGCGCCACAAATTTTCTCCACGAAATGACATTTTTTTTATTTTCTTTATTAAAGCTTTCAGGAATTTTTTATTGCTTTATTTTGCTCCTAATGCGATCACATAACACTTTCTGATCCTCAGAAGCCCTCAAAGTTCGCTAATTTTCAAGAAAATCGCATTTTTATATTTTTGTAGTTCCAACTTTCACCGCTAGATGGACGCCAATTTTTTAGTCCATG